CGCAGAGACCTTTAAAGGTTCTGCCAAGCAAGATACAATGTAGGTGAGCCAACCATTCATGACAGGATTGCAGACACTATTAAGTGACAAGGGTAGGCTAAATGCTCATAATGAGATGCAAAGATGAGATGCTAAACATTGATTTTTTTTGTGGCAGGCAGAGGACCATCCTGCGATAATATATTTTGTAAAAACTTGGCTCTCAACTACAAATGGCACTATTGAGAGGAGGATTACAAAGGTAAGTAGTTTAACAGCTTTCATCGGTGAGTGAACCACTTCAGTATTTTGCCTTTAGCAAACAAATTTCAAGTTGTTACCAACATGTGGTTTAAACATGTTATCAACTGTGATATTTGACATTGCATTGGAATTCCAGCCCAGGTCAACAAGCACTAACAGGAAATGACCCTAAACAAATCTACTCAGAGCAGACTAAATAAATCAGACTGTATAGTTAGAAGTAAGAAAGGAGAATCAGCTAATATTAAAAGTGTTAGAAACCAAAATATCTAATGAAATCTACACATGACACACCCACCTACTCTGCAAGCAAGACATCAATCAAGACATTCTTGGCTTAAAATACATGCATGTGTAGTTAGCAACGAATATAATAAATCAGAAAATTTCTTTGACGATATGGAAAAATTTATAAAAAAATTGCGTGGTTAAATATGGTGATCCTATGTACCTCAAATAATTCGGATCTTATAGAAAGGTCAATCAGCAGCAGAATCATCTGTATTTTACCTCACAGCACACCATAGATCATGAAACCACATATCATATACATTACTACATGACGAGTCCCAAAGTGGCAAGTCAAAATACAAAGATCACAAGTAAAATGGCTTGATATCATGGAGTTTAATAACTTCTATATAATATGTTTTTTTTTCACAAACTGTGGTGTCCTGTCGGTGAAATACAGATTATTTTGCAGCAGATTATGTTATATCTTCTGGAGCTTGATGTCCCGTTTCATGCGTGTACTGTCCTATGTATGACACGTAAACATGTGGCTCTTGTTCAAAGCTTGTGGAACACGCCATTGTTGATAGGGTTTATATCGCTATATTGCATATGCTCAATTTAAAACTGATCATGCAACTTTTGTTGATCATGACTACTTGTGACATTCAGTAAATTATTTTTGTTATGATTTTAGAAAAAGTTTAATTGTCAGAAATGAACTAACCCCGTCAATTGCAGCTTGGATATACCTGTGTGATTGATGAATCGATAGAGTGAAAGTGGATACAAAATTGTAACATTACATTGTGATGCGGTAGTTTGAACTGTTCAATTTCTGAAGTCTGTTGTTCGATTACCCACTCTCAGTCACCTGTGGAACCCCAGCCAGAACATGACACAAAATATACAGTTTTCGATCAGTAGTCGTAAACAGTTGTTACACTGAAATACGCTGTGGTTAAATTGTTAACATATATCTAATAATTACAAATAAACAGTTCAAGCCACACAGTAAAAATATTTTGCGTATTCAACGAGTCGTCAAATTTGGAATAAAATTTTACTGTAGTAACAAAGAGATCACATATTCCATACATGTATAAGATAATATTAAATAAGCTTTTCTCTAAAAATAATATTTTATACTAGGTTAAAAAAAAACATCAAATGTTGATGATTGAGTGTCATAATGAAAAATTACTTTTTAAACAAAATGTCTTTGGAGGAGCTTTACGTTGAACAAATTTGTTTGTAAACAAACATGTTTTAGTGATTTCTACAATTTCCTAGTATTAGCCCAACATGTTATTGGATTAAATAAAAAATAACATACATGTATTTTTAATAATCAGGTACAAATGCCTCATAAATGAATAAATACTTTTCATAGAAGTGCTTATTCATTTTGCCATGGAAGCTTGATATTTTTTACAATCAGAAACAAAATGTTATGAAATTTCATGAAATCAACACTTCATAATGATGATAAGCTTATGTGTGCAGGTTACGGCACCCAAAAAATATACTTGAATTGAAAAGTAAAGCCCTTCTATGACTTGAATAGAATTGCCTGTTGTCGCTATGGTTTTTGTCGTGCATTTATGAAAATAATGTGTTCAGATGTACTGTTGTATCTTCAGAACACAAAACAAATATGGCTATATGACACATCACAGCAACATACAGAGGTGAAGTAGTTATTCATCTTTTTATAAATTGTGCAAAAGATTGAATTCAAAATGTGAATAAGGTAGTTCTCACATTTGTCAGCAGGAGAAGTTTGTTTTTAAACAAGTGAAATGACAACAACAAATTACCGATTGAATTACTGAATTGGGCCACCTGTTATATTCCCATATTATGAAGGTCTATAACCGCCATTAGCATTTTGAATATTTCACAGAAAATAGTATTCTACAATATATGAACATACATTAATTTGGATATTGCTGTCTCGTTCTTTAACCTTTTTGCCACCAAACTTTCTCACCCAAATTTTACTTATATTCATTAATATTTCTAGAAATTAAGTCTAATTTTGGAGTCGGCAGACAAAATTTGAGTTAATTTTTAGTTTTTACTCAAAATATTTGGCTATTTTTATCCCAATCTTCTGAAGGAAAGTGCAGACAATAAACAGGACTATTTTGTGAATTTGTGATGAAAAGAGGGAACTTGTGGTGAAAAGGTTAACGGTTAAAGATCTCTGTCTACATTCACCATTATTAGCGTTCACTATTTCGTAAGGTATAGTAATACTCAATACATGAACTCTGTTCATACAAACATGATTTATATTAGAACCTCTCCATATATATATATAATTACAACTATTGTTTCCAAAAAGATGAACAAATTAGATAGTGGCAAATATTTCCTGAAAAATCTCCCTTCCATGATACTGGAAATTAGGGAATTGCTGAGTAAACAAATATATATGGGCAAAGAAACATGCGCACCCTTCTACAGCGGCACAGAAACAGGCCCACCCATCTACAGCGGCACAGAAACAGGCCCACCCATCTACAGCGGCACAGAAACAGACCCACCCATCTACAGCGGCACAGAAACAGGTCCACCAATTTACATCGGCAAAGAAACAGGCCCACTCATCTACAGCGGCACAGAAACAGGTCCACCCATCTACAGCGGCACAGAAATGGGCCCACCCATCTACAGCGGCACAGAAACAGGTCCACCAATTTACATCGGCACAGAAACAGGCCAACCCATCTACAATGGCACAGAAACAGGCCCACCCATCTACAATGGCACAGAAACAGGTCCACCCATGTACATGTACAGTGGCATAGAAACATGCCCACACATTGCAAAGGCACGGAAACAAGCCCACCCATCTACAGCGGCACGGAAACAAGCCCACCCATCTACAGCGGCACAGAAACAGGCCCACCCATCTACAGCGGCACAGAAACAGGCCCACTCATCTACAGCGGCACAGGAACAGGCCCACCCATCTAAAGCGGCACAGAAACAGGCCCACCCATCTACAGCGGCACAGAAACAGGCCCACCCATTTACAGCGACACAGGAGCAGGCCCACCCATCTACAGCGGCACAGAAACAGGCCCACCAATTTACAGCGGCACAGAAACAGGCCCACCAATTTACATCAGCACAGAAACAGGCCCACCAATTTACATAGGCACAGAAACAGGCCCACCCTTATACAGCGACACAGGAGCAGGCCCACCAATTTACAGCGGCACAGAAACAGGCCCACACATTGCAAAGGCACGCAAACAAGCCCACCCATCTACAGTGGCAAGGAAAACCTGCCCACTCATCTACAGTGACCCGAAAACACATGTCCACCCATCTACAACTAAATAAGAAAGAAAGAAACCATGCTGAAAATAATTCATCGTGATGACATGCATCAATAGAGAAGCCAGAAAAACTCCTGACAAATGATGCATCTTCCATCAATGCTTCATATGCACAAGGTAACAGTGTTAACAAAAGACTGATGTCTACTCAGACAACCTCCATGTCATGACCTCAATGTCAGGGGACCTACACATCTACTACTATAAACGGCAAGTCAGAATGCAAGAAGAGGAAGCTAATATACCCAAGCCAGACATTTATTTTGGAAACAAACGATCATATTACTGTAAAATAGTTTATTTTTGATGAATGGGTGATTCAGTAAAGAAAAATCCAGTGAATATACCTTTTTTTCCAATATTTTACTTATAATAATATAATAATATAGTCAGTAAAAATAAATTCCATACAAAACACTAAAAAATTACGTATTTTATAGAAATTGGTGATGATTTTTCATCATGTCTAATTAACAGTAAATCACAAATTTTGTTTAAATCTGCCAACTTGCTAGAATGAAATAATAATGACGACAAATTGAAATAGACAAGCACAGGTAAAAAAAAAACTCAAATGGACAAAGTCATCTTGAGTTTTGAGACTTCTACATGTATGTGAAATATTTACTGATCTGAATATATGTTGATACAACTGGACTTGCTCGTGTTGGAAAAAACATTGTTAGCAATTGACGATAAAACTATCAAATTATGTTCAGACAGGCTGAAAATCAAAACATTTGAATATTTCGAAAAATTACATAAATTTCCCACTATTGACATAAATTCAAATCAGTAAACATTTAACAAGCCACAATACAGCTTTAGAAAAGATGTCAAAGTGAGACCATTAAATATTTCACATAATAGTACAAAGACCCCAATACAGATTGCATAAATATATAGTGGGATGGACATTCACAGTAATTTGCAGTATATATGGCCTTCATACTTCAATTAATAAGAAGGGATAACTTCCAACATGGCATACATACCCTTCTTTAAAATAACAACTACCGGAAATCATACTGTTTTAAAAAAACACAACATGAGAGTATTTACTGTGATTGACAGGATGGGATAACAAAATAAACATTATGACCAGCTTATAGAAAAAATCAACAATGATTTAAATATATTTAAGCATACTTTCAACATTTCAATTGTATTATAGTTTTATTCTAGTAAAGTGATCTCTCATTGGGAAGTACAGCCGTAATTGTATGATTAATCTGGAATTGCATACATCTACAATGTACAATATCAGTTATTAACACATGGTACAAATCATCTCGTTTGAAATTGTTTTTCAAATTTTACAGATTTGTTTCAAATTATATTATTAAAAATGTGCTATGTACAAATAAAAATTCATATGAATGTGATGATTCAATTGAATAAAATAACAAGTCATAATCGGACTACATCAACACAGATTAACGTAAATACAATGTATACAATGATACATCTATATTCAACATGCGGTATGCATTATAAATCACAGCTACGTAACATGAAAGCATTATTAACGGGACAACTTAGCAACTCAAATTAGGGCGCATAATTAAAATGGGAAAACAGCTATTACAAGAAATGAACAATCTGTGATGTGAATGAAATCTTACCTCAATTTCAAAAGTCTGCTCAGAGTCGTCTAAAAAAATAACCTGACATCGGATTTTTTTCTCTTGCTTGTCCCGCGCCAGTTCAGTAGCACGAACATTATACGTCCCACTAGAAGCCCGAAAACGACGTGACATGACGACGGCAGTATCAGTCCTGCAAAATAAATATAAATAAAAACAATATCACAATTTAGTTCACAAAAAAAAAAAAGTTCAGAAATTTCAAGTCAGCTGCGTAAGAGAGAAAACGGATGATGAAACTCACTCATTCTCCGAAGAATATACCTCATCTTCAGACCCAGCAGCCATTTTAGTTGAAGACGTTACACACAAAATGAGCAATTTACCACAGTCAACCGAACGGGAACATGAAACTAACGACCGTCTTTTGTACAATAAACAACGATAAATATTTTCACAAAGAATCGCCAAACACAGCTTCCTTAGAATAAAGCACATCTGATATATGTATATTATTCACGGGATCAGACATTCTAATTGAGACAGTCATAATTTCACTCTGACATCATGATTTCCTGGTGAAAACCTCCTAGATTCCTAAGCATGTTGACAGTATCACATAGAACCGAATTAAGAATTAGTTAATGGCTCATGTACACCAGTGGGTCAGAGTAGCTGCCAATAACCAACACAAGTAGGTGGCTTTAAATACCCAACCCTGCCTGAAAGTTATACATCTTCTCTCCCACTTAACATATTCTAACCCATTGGGATCATCCACTATTGGCAGGGGGTAGACAGGTCACAATTGAGGGAACACATACTAATGATATGTGCTAATGATGCATCAGCGATGGAATTGGTTAACACTTAACGACAATGCAGGACTCCCCATGACAATAATCTAATTTACCCAGACTGATTAAAGTGAGCATAAATAATTAACAATTTACAAAATAATGAAACCATTCCTTAGTACATGTACATACTGAAACTACAGAGGGCATAGTTACACAAAGTACATCACAAACAAATTTCATATAGGTTTCACACCATGAATTTTTTGTACAGTGTCATGGCGTCTAATTCTTGAAATGTCTATCAATATACATAATCAACAGCTGATTATAATTACTGATGTCACGGTGATGATTTTCACAAGAATGTCAATAATGGATATACATAATTTTATTTACTATTTTGCTACCTGCAAGTACCTGTGAGAATGATGAGGCCTTGCCTTTGAAAATGGATAAAGAGTAAAATACAGCTCACCTAAGCGCACTGAGGCAAGTTATGAAAGTGATTTAAATGTATTGGGAAATAAAACTGAAAGGAAAAAATGTTTTTCACTCCCCTGTTTGCTAAAGGTCTGAGTGATAATTTGCTAAAGGTCTGACTGATACTGTTGCTATCAACAGGCACTTGATGAAGGACATACATGTATGTCCATTCTTGTTACTATTTTATGACCAGAAAACAATGATTTCTCATACCAGTGTACAAGGTTATGCACAATTACTGTCTCAATGTGTTGTCTCAATGTGCTGTCTGAATGTGCTGTCTCAATGTGGACTCAATGTGGACTCAATGTGTGGACTCAATGTGTTGACTCAATGTGTTGACTCAATGTGTTGACTCAATGTGTTGACTTAATGTGTTGACGCAATGTGTTGATGCAATGTGTTGACGCAATGTGTTGACTCAATGTGTTGACTCAATGTGTTGACGCAATGTGTTGACGCAATGTGTTGACGCAATGTGTTGACGCAATGTGTTGACGCAATGTGTTGACTCAATGTGTTGACTCAATGTGTTGACTCAATGTGTTGACTCAATGTGTTGACTCAATAAAATAAACTTGAGCTCTTAATAACTTTTTACTACACTCATTTCGAAACTACTCACTTAAAGCGAACCTAAATGCGGCCTTAATTTATAGTTGTGTATATTCTAAACTGTATTCAAAATAATATTGCAGTGGTTTAATGGATAGGCATTTGAAGTGCTTGCCATGGAGGCCATTCATGGAGGGGAATAATTAACGAACATATTTAACATCCGGGTACTTTTCAAAGCTATGACGTTTTAGTATCTGATCGCATTCGTATACGTATACGCCATTGTACATAGCCGTTCATGCTGCCAAGCACTGTGTACTATTAGTATAAACTCAACTTTTATGTGCACAATGTGCTTTTTAAAACTTGGGTTAGAGCCTTATGCGTTTGAATCACAGTATTCTGAGAGTGAAAGCCCAATTGCGTTAAAGTACCGTGCTTCCCCGATCGTAAGCCCCTCCCGAGTATGAAGCCCATCCCTATGTTTTTACTTGGTATTTATCGAGTTGAGGGCATTCACGATTATAAGCCCAGAGTGTTTTTACTGGGCGTCGACGATATTCTTTAAAATATGCGTGTAAAAGGTGTGTTTCATTTCATAATAATCGTGATTGGCATGTTAGTTTGGTTCATGCTTTTAGTTTTATGAGAAAACTCGCATTAATTTCAAGTTCAGAGTTCATGGCGAACGTACACAACGTGATTCGCATCGTTTCTATTCTGTCATTTACAAAGGATGAACATCGATGTTGCAATTCTGGAGTAATCCATATTTCTTTGAGTAGTAGCCTTCGAAAAGCCAAAAATGTGATCGTCAAGGCGTGTACCTGGCTATTGGGCATGGTTTGCTTTGAGACTATCATGAAAGGCCTCGGGTTTGAACGATGAGACATGTTGGCGGCTAAAAAAGGTGTTTAAATTCTTCCTCCACACGGTTACTATTAACCGTCGTTTATATTTCGGAAATTGCGAATCGCCTGTTTTTAGGGGAAAAAAAACATCGTTTTTTCGTTGCAATCAGTGCTATAGATCGCATTTTAACATTGCGGTAATTCACTTCCGCATTGTGCTAAAAAATCATCGTCAATAATCGGAAAATTTCATCATTACGACACATCATTTTGATTGGTTAATGAAAGACATGATCTGTTATGTCAAAGGAAGTTGTTCCAGGTCAAATCGTGCTGAAAAACCTCATGGTGGAAAATTGTTTTGCGTCGAGAGTTTGCGTACGATCGAAAACATACCAAAACGAAGATAATGATAAATGCCTTCGTCCACTGTTTCCTCACAGACCCTACCCATTATTTCACCGTAAATTCAGACGGTA